ACTAGAACTTTGACCTTTTTGAAAACATTCTGTGCGTTTTCGCTTTTGCTACTTTAGCTCTTGGCTAACTTTTTACTGATTTTCATTAACCTTTTGCTACTTTAGCTCTTGGCTAACTTTTTACTGATTTTCATTAACCTTTTGCTACTTTAGCTCTTGGCTAACTTTTTACTGATTTTCATTAACCTTTTGCTACTTTAGCTCTTGGCTAACTTTTTATTGATTTTCATTAACCTTTTGCTACTTTAGCTCTTGGCTAACTTTGTACTGATTTTCATTAACCTTTTGCTACTTGGAGCTTTCATTTATTACTTGCTACCGTTTTTATCTAGCTTTTTGCCACTTATGGCTTCTTGCTACTGTTTTACTGGCTTTAGTTTTGAACCAGCTTTTTGCATTTTTAACATTTTTAGCTTGTGTTTTTCTACTTTTAGCTAGCATTTTGATGCTTTTAGGTTTAGTTTGCTACATTTGACTCTTGAGCTGTTCTGCCTTTAGCTTTAATAGCCGAACTTGAGCTTCTTTCAGATGTTGTTTCTGAAATGAAGGCCCAGATATAACCCCTCGTCTTTGTTTTAAAGTTTTAATGGTTTATTTGTTTATTTGTTTGTTTAATCTTCAGCCCAGCAGAAGATGGATTACTCCATCGCTGCGGGGATGCAGTTCTCCGTCGGGGATCGCTGCCAGGTCGGTCTGACGGCTCCTTTCTGCTAATTTAAAACTACTTGCGTCAGATTTAATTTTCACTTCTTTTTGTCGTGTTCAGGTCCGTCTGGAGAACAGTGGGCGGAGCTACAGTGCCATCGTCAGAGAGATTCCTCCCACTAACGGCCCGGTGACCGTTTACATTGAAGAACTGGGAACAAAGTAAGCGTGGTGGCTGTAAACGTCAACCCCCCCCCCAGCACCTATTAACGGTTTGCTCTGTGTGCAGACAAGTCCCTCTGTGGAACCTCCGCCCCCCCAGCGTTGAGAACAGTTGGAGCACCGTGGTCCACCGGGACAAGAGACTGAACAACGGACATGGAGGTAGGACCTTTATCGACTTAACTCCATAAACGTTGGCGTTCAAGGAAAAACTGATCCGATCTGTTACAATCAGTCGGCGTTTTGACCGAAAACATGGCCGTGTCCTCACGGTCGCGACTTCCAGTGACTTCAAGTCCATTCAAGTCATCTAATGAAACAAAGGCTTTCAGGTGCAGAGACATGCGCTGCTGCTAATTCAGCTAGCCGGTGAT